GACTGGATGGCCCTTGTGGTCTCTTCCAACTCTATGATTCTATATCTTTATTTAAACTTAATTTTCTACATACGTGTAGGAAAGTCACAAAGTGTGGAAACCCATGTACCAAAAGCTGCAAGACAAATGTAATTAATAAATGCTACTTTGTTTAGTCTACCACATACTATACTCCCAGCAGCTTGATTCCATAGTGTAAATGGCAAGTGGTGAGACAAGAGTGGCATTTCACTGATTTGATAACTGCCTTGGCAGGCTCATGGCACAGCTCCTTTCCCAGAACATCCCCAAGGCCTATGAAGAGTCCCAGCACACATTACCATACTGGTAACAGTTTTTAAGAGACCACATTTGAATAAATATGCCTCTTTTTAATGTGTCACAATGCCAGATTAGCTGTTAATTTCCAGACAGAAACTGTAGAATCCAATTAGACACAGCACTCTTCTCAAGGCTTTCTGCATGTCTGTTTCACTGAAATTACTATAAAGCAGCCAGTGTTGTCCTGTAGGCAGGCAAGGCATTTACTGGAAGATTAAGATTTTATTTTTTAAAAAAGGATGCAGACCATTTGAAAGTTATTGTGATTTCAAAACAAGCAATCATTTTTAAATACAGGGGAGGAGAATTCTGTCTTATTAAACTGCAGTTCTCAATAGCTGAGATGAGATCTCCCCCCTAGATTTCCTGGGACTGTCAAGTAAAATTAATGACATTGTGAGAGACAGTTTCATATCTACAGCCAGATTTTATAAATATACTTTACACCATGGTCCCACTACCAGACATGGATCCGCCTTGGGGAGATTATAATTGCACATTTGAACATTAATTCTTTTTTTTTTTCAAATAGGAAAATGAAAACTTTTCATTCCTTAACCCTGAGGCAGGGATAAAAACTTTCAAAACATGGAGAAAGAAAAGTTAAATCCAAATCATTAAACTCTAGCCAGATGTTGCCATCTTTCCCACTGCAAAACAAAGAAAATACGAAAAATAAGGATTCCTCTCCAGGTTTCAGGCAACAGAAGTTTCCCTTTCTATTCATGCTTTATGTACTGTATGCTCAACACTAGCAAGCAATAAAGACCCCACTATATCTGTCTTGCATGCTATGTTCTAAAAGATTAAATGTATCACAGCTCCTCCTTAAAATACATCAAAACTAAAATAACACACAACTAAAAAAGAAAAGAAACCTATATACTTCGTTTCAGCTAATTAAAAGAAGTCTCAGGAACAATTCATTACATTTGCCATTGCTATAACCAGATTTAGTCACTGTTAGCATTTGCATACAAATTACACTAATGCAACATATTCTTCTTTTCTTTAACCTAAAGCAATTAATCTTGGGTACAACTAGTTCCTCTGTTGTTGCTGTTGAACGCCTACCAGTTGTTTCTGTATTATGGCAACCTTAAGGCAAACCTATCATAGGGGTTTCTCGGGAAGACTTGTTCAGAGAGGATTTACCACTGCCCTTCTCTGAGTCAATGTATTTGCAAGATCTGTTCATAGGGGGATTGCCATTGCCTTCCTTTGAGCTCAAACAATGTGAGTTGCCTAAGGTTACCCATTGGGTTTCCATGGCTAAACAGGGATTTGAACTCTGGTCTCCCAGAGTCCAACACACAAACCACTAGATCATACTGGCTCTCAACTAGCTCCTAGTTTGTGTTAAAAGTCTATCTGGTGTACCATAAAACGGTCACAGAAGCAACAGTGAAAAGGAATTGTTATTGTAAAAAGACCCTCTTTTCAGAACAATGGAAAAGTTACTTTTAGCATACAATGAAGAGAGAAACCATTTATTAGCAGGTGTACATCCAGACCCAGACAAGTAGGTGCAGTGATGGGTATTATTCTGTCCTCTGTTGAATTTGGAAAAGATCCAGGACGTTACACAAGTTCATAGGAAGGAAGAAGGAAAAATCTGGTTACCAAGGATGTGTGATATATCATCTATGGAGAAACCTGTTCACTGGAGATATATGTGCATTTGAATCAGAATCTTGGAAAAGTTATTTTTTGGGTTATAGTTCAAAGGTTATTCCAGGTGGCATGACCACAAGGCATATCTATGACCATTGGCCATGCTAGCTGGGGGAGGCTGGGAATTATAGTTCAAGAAAGGAACTTTCTGAAGCTCTAATTTGAATTTCAAGCATCTCCTAGACACGCCTGCCTTCTGGTGTTGACAGGTAAAATCAAAGACAGGGCTACTGTCCCATTAATGACTTTGTAGAAGAGGTAATTTCTGCAGATACTGATTGAATGGCCTGCTGAACATAATCATTGACAAACCTAGATCCTTGAGAGTTCCTTGTCCAACTACTTTTTTGGTGTAGACTACAGGTGTGCCATACTGTGGAGGGAAGGGGGAAACTGAGATTTAGAGAGCTGTAAGTCTAGCTTACAACATGTGGTCAACATGACTTGATCTCAAAAATCCTACCCTTGGGAAAAGAAGTCAGGCAAAACTTTACTGCAGGGACAGGCAACCTACGGCCCAGGGGCCGGTTAAGGTCCTGGACCCCGGACTTACTGGCCCAGGCCAAAGGTTGCCGCCGCTGCCGCCGCCGTTGGAGCATCTTGCGCATGCGCAAACGCGTCGCAGCCACCATTTTGACTTCCAAAATGCCGGCTGCGACATGCGCTGCGGAGGCTGCGGCTGTACGCGCTATGGTGGCGGCTGCGGTAGCGGCAGCAGCGGCAGCGTGCGCAGGGGCGTGGTGGAGGAGGGTGCGTGCCGCCATTCCCCCCCCCCAGCCCAGCCGAGAGGCAACCCTTTTGAGACTGGCCCAGGTCTCAAAAAGGTTGCCTGTCCCTGCTTTACTGAGTTAGCTATTTCAGGGTTTAAAGGAGAAATAATGCTTATTCATGTAGGGCCTTTACAGACTGCCACTTTAACTGTCCTGGCTCAGTGCTAGGGAATCATGGGAGCTGTAGTTTATTGTGGCACCAGAGCTCTCTGAAATAGAAGGCTCAATATCTCAGAAAAAACTGCAGCTCCCATGATTCCCTAGCACCGAGCCAAGACAGTTAAAGTGGACTCAAGCTGCATTATTTCTGGCAGTCTGTAAAGATGTTTACCCTGGAAAAGAGAAGGTTAAGAGGTGATATGATAGTCCTGTTTAAATATTTGAGGGGATTTCATACTGAAGATGGAGCAAGCTTGTTTTCTGCTGTTCCAGAGACTATGGGGTAAAACAGATGGCCAAAGCAGGCTGCTGCTGTGGTCCCAAACCAGCGCTACCAGGAGCCGGATAATTTCTGCTCCTTAAAGGTCCAGCTTTTACCCCCTTAGCGGCTTCCAGACACTTTGTAAACGCCACTTCCCAAAGCAGCTGGAAGCCCGTGCATTTTGGGTTTAGGACACAGAAGAATTGATGCAAATTACAGGAAAAGATTCCACTTCAACATTAGGAAGAACTTCCTGACAGTAAGAGCTGTTCAACAGTGGAATATCCTGTCCTAGAGTGTGGTGGAGTCTTCTTCTTTGGAGATTTTGAAACAGAAGCTGGATAGCCATCTGTTGGGGGTGATTTGATTGTGTATCCCTACATGACAGGGGGTTGTTTCTTCCAGCTCTATAATTTTACTCTATTATTAACCTGAGGAGAAGGTTGCCATCACAACACAGCCACCACAAATTCAGTTTACACCACAGCTAGATAATCTGAAACCCCAAATGTTGATGACCTACGGTTTTCATCAACCATCTACACTGGCCAGACTAACTAGGAATGATGAAATTGGAGCCCATCTAGGTCCATACCTTCCCCATTTCTGACTTATCCAGCTTAAAAACAAGCAGAACAGAGAAAAAACTGCACCAGGCTCTTTCATACTACACACTGGCCATAGTACTATACTTCCACTTTAACTTTCACAGTTCCTTCTAAAGGAATCCTAGGATTTGCAGTTTAGGGAGCCACAGAGCAATCTAGTGCCTCTCCAAACAACAAATGCTAGGACCCCATGGGATGGAGCCATGGCAATTAAAAATGGAATCACATCATCATAATTATGTAGCATATGGACACACACACCCTTGTCTTTTCTTATTCTTACAGGTCACAACATAATAGTGTTATGTTGGCTAGTGCAAAGTCTGATTCTAAAGGTTAAAAAGCAATGCTAGTACTTATCTGGAGAGGTAATAAAAATTGCTTTTTAGAACCAGAGTTCCCTGCTGACTGGAGGAATCTAGGGGCTGCCATCCAAAAATTTCTTCATAGTCCTAGCCCACATTTGAATCTAGGATGCTTTTATCAAAACAGCAGATGTTTCTCCTACTGCAATCAAAAATGTGTTGCTATAGGCATCAAGCTGTGAGAAAACAAAGTTTTCACTCTCCAGTCACTGTATTAAAAAGGGCAGGGGACATTTCATGGAGTGGAGCTCCCTATTTATTTACATATTACTAAGGAGGTGCATGATAATCTCCCAGGGTGAGATGAGATTGACTTCAACATCTTATCAGCAACAAAGAATAATTTTGAATTCCTAACATGAGGAGATATAGAACTTGCCATGTCAGCTTTAGCACTTCCACTTACTTCAAGTCATTTCTGACTTATGCCAAGCTTAAGGCACCATTTTGTTATTGCTGTGTGCCTTCAAATTGTTTCCAACTTATGCCTACCCTATCATGGGGTTTTCTTGGCAAGTTTGTTCAGAGGGGGTCTGCCATTGCCATCCTCTGAGGCTGAGAGAATGTGACTTGACCAAGGTCACCCAGTGGGTTTACATGGCCCAGCTGGGATTCAAATCCTGGTCTCCAGAGTCATATGCTCAAACCACTATACTATGCTGGCTCTCATTCTCCCATATCTGCTAGGAATGTAGTTCTCCCATCGGTGGGTGCCAGAGGAATGCCTAAGGAGCCTGGTGTAAAATGAAAGACAACTACAATGTTTACTTTTTTCCCATTTGACCTTCTTTTTAACTTGCAAGGCCTACACACGGTCTCATAGTGTTTTATCAAACTATTCACACCCTTAGTCGTGGAGTGGCAACGGTGTGGGAGCCAATTTTTACCCCTAACCTCCGCAGATCTGCAAGTCCAAATACCTCTGTTTTCCTCTGGATGAAACGGCATCATTTCCTGTCACCATTTTCAGAGGTATGCCAGAGGAAAACAGAGGTATTTAGGTAGATAGAGGGAAATGCAGGCACAAAAGCAATCTTCCCATGGTGCAAATGTACAGTTCATTATACTGGTAAGAGTTATGGGCCCTGATTTCTGACTATGCAGGAGTTTGCAAGGATTTTATTTTATATTTTTTGTTCAGTTGGCTTCAGACAGAGGCTGCTCACCATCTTTACTACAGTATTTTTAAAAAAAGAAAAATCCTTCCTTACTACAGCTTATTTTGATGTTTTAAGCAGCTTTCATGTTCCTCTATAAAAAGGGGTGGTGAAACGTCAGCATGAGTCAGGATGCTGAAGTATCTTTCAGTTCTGATTCAGGGCAATTTAGCCACTGCTCAGAAAGACCATTTACTTCTGCCATCAGAAACAGCTGCCACTACAGAGCACAGATTAGCCTCACAGCTTCTACATTGCATCAGAGCATATACTGAGATGCTGTGACGTCTGTGTCTGCACTAACTTGCATGATGATTATCTTCTGATGGAGGATGGGGAAAAGACACACAAGACACACACATTCTTTTCACTCTCCAAACACAGAGACAATATATCCAAAACAGATTTTAAAACTATTTGGTTTCCAAACAATAGTTAGAAGGATTCTCAGAGTCCATTTCTTTGCTAAACCTTGTTCTAAAGATGGCACGTGAAGAGAGGCTGTAATGGGGAATATGGAATATTTCAGAGCCACTGGTTTTACCTCTGTTCCATTTATAATTGCTCCAGATAGCAAGGAGAAGGGTTGGCAAGACGCCTGGTCATCATGGCTGATTTTCAGGGCTCAAAGTGAAATATCACAGGATTCATTCTATCAGAAAGTACCTTTACCACTGTATCAAATTTTATATTAACTGGACAAATTACTGATATGAAAGGAAAGGGTGGATTTCTATTTTAAAAAAGAAAGGGTGTAACCACTATGTGTTTAGTTGAAATCCAGAAGTTGAAAAAATTACTTTTTATGGACTACAAATGTGGTGAAATTTGACCTCAGCCATAAACGTGTGAGCTGGCCATAACACAAGGTCACACTCCTCTCCTCTCTGTAATGCAGGCACACTCTATCATACATTCCAGCTGCAAGGGTTAATTTACACCAGTGGTACTCAAACATTTTACCCTTGGGACTCCCCTTTACATCTACATGTGGATATCACCCCTCACACATTTGACAAAGTACATGAATAAAAATATTTGTATTTAGTGTATTCATGTATATTCATGTTTTAATGTTTTATAAGGAAATAATATTCAAATTAGAAAATATTTATTTAAGTAAATTCAATATTTAACTCAACACATGTGGACATTTTACACAAAAAAAAGTTTGGGAAGAGGAGGAAGAGGGACCAGGGCCTTCAAGTCTCGCACTCTCTTGAGCATCTCTTGCACTCCCCCCCCCAGGGTTTGCCTAACCCGGGGGTCAGCAACCTACGGACTGTGGGCCGCACTCAGCCCGTGGACCCCCGCTGACCGTCCGCTGCCGCATGCGCCGGCACCGCCATTTTGTTTGCCAAAATGGCGGCTGCAGCTCGCTTGCGCATGCACAGGAGTACTGCGCAAACAAGTCGCGGTCGCCATTTTGGCAAACAAAACCACCGCCATTTCTCCCCCCCCCCCCCCCCCCGACCTGGTGGAAGACCTGGGGACCAGCAACCGGCCCCAGGTAAAAAAACATTGCCGACCCCTGGCCTAACCATTTGAGAAACACTGAACTAAACAATATATGTTAAAATATCCACCACTATCAGTTTTCCATTGCACTACGTAAATAATTATGATTATTACCATTAATAAATTCTGGCAACTCACCACACTCCATATAATCTTTTATATACCATATATCTTGAATATAATCTTTTACAAGGAGGTTGCAAATAAATAAGCACAAGATGGTGGGATGCCATCACATACCTCCTTACACAAGAAGCCAGTACTGTCTGTTCTTCAAGGTATGAGACAGAGGTCTTTGCAATCTCTTGCTACATGACTTTCTATCTCTTTCTGCCATAGGTAGAGCCCCAGATTTTCTCCATGCAAAGAAAGCATGAGCTCTATTTCTATCAGATGGGCTGTAATCTAAAAGGAAAATCCAAGGAAAAGCAAAATAAGCTGTACTGCAGCCTTGTATGAAAATACTCCTGAATTTGCTAAACTTGATACTGCCAAAATGTGTATACCTTAACCCAACTGTTAATCTCATCTGGGATATACCCATTGAATCAATGGAACATACTGCACAATAAGTATTATCAAGTTTCCATTCATTCTTTCGAGTGTACTGTAGCTGGGACTAACAATTCAGTCTAAGTGATAGTTAAGTTAGGGTTTAATTTTTCTGAGACTATTCAGACAGTGATTGCATACCACAACTACAGTTTCTTCAGAACTTGGAAAAACCACTTTTAAGGACTATATTCCAGAGGATTCTGGGAGTAACCGTCCAAATAAGTAATGTTTCCATCCAAGCCCTGAATTTCTCATTTGATCCTAACCTTTAAAGCTTGAGACTTCCAAATTCCCTGAAATTAATATGAATTTAATTATTAAGGTATTCCTTGGAGGACCTTCTTTAGCTCCCCCTGGTTTCATAAATCCAATAGAGGTAGACCTATGAGAGGGCCTTGCCAGCACTGGTGAATATCTCTCCTCAGGGAATCTCACTTTCCATTGATCCTGACATCTTTTTAGTGCCCAGTGAAGACTTTTATATCCTTTCTGACATTTTAGTCACTGTGTTTTTACAAAGTACTGCCAATAGTTTGAACCAGGGGTAGGCAACCTTTTTGAGCCGGGTGCCGGGTTACAGTCCCTCAGACAATATGGGGGGGAAGAAGCACCAAAAATAAATAGATAGATAGATAGATAGATAGATAGATAGATAGATAGATAATTTTTTTAAAAAAATTTAAGCATTTTTAAAAATTAAAAAAAAATGCATGAACACTCTCTCAGCCCCAGAAAAGCTATAGCAAAACCCCTGTGGAGATTTTGCCAAGAAAACCCCAAGAACAAGTAATAACAACAATAATCAATATCATCATGGCGGGCGGTGGTGGCGGCGATGGCAGCGGCAGGACTGGCCTGCGGCCGGTCCAAAGGCCTCGGGGGGCCACATCTGGCCCGCCGAGGCCTTAGGTTGCCTACCCCTGGTCTGAACCATATGTCTGCCCTATTTTCATTTTTCAGTAGCAAGTATTCTTACTATTGTTGCCTTTCAGTGTTGCATTTGCTACTGCTGAAGAGAGTATTAATAATTGAAACTAATAAACAGACTTGATCCTTTATGTATTCATTAAAACATTTTAGTCCAATTTTTGGTGGAAGAGCCTCAAGAGGTTAATTATATCAGCAATAAAAATAATCATGAAGCAGAAGTAGTAATCCCACAAATTAGCAAAAGCATACACATGCAAAACCAGACTCACAGGATTACAGTTAAACAAAACAGAAGCAAATTAATGTAGAATTCATTTAAGCCCAACACTGAATACATGTTGAAAAGCCAAGTTTTCAGTGCCTGATGAGAAGTAAATAGCAAAGGTACTGCAAAAGAATCTGGGGGAAAAAAAACATCCACAGTTAACTGCTATTGCTAAAAACAAAATCCCCACCTTATGTTTCCACCTGCTATATTTCAGATAGGATTCATATGGTGTGGAACACACAGCACAACTTCTGTAGTTGGTCTGAGCACATGGCTACTAGGTTTCTTTTTGAACTGCTGTTCTTATGGGCCTTCAAGTTGTTTCCAACTTATGGGGACCCCAAGGCAAACTTACCATGGGATTTTCTTGTCAAGATTTGTTCAGGGGAGATTTGTCTTTGCCATCCTCTGAGGCTCAGAGAGTGTGACTTGTCCAAGGTCACCTAGGTTACCATGAATGAATGAATGGTGATTCGAACCCCAATCTCAGGAGTCGCAGTCCAGCGCTAAAACCACTATATCACACTGGCTCAGGAAAATCCTTATGATACTGTGGCACATTTGACTCACGATATGTCACCACTAGGGACTAAAAACCCTAAAGGCCCCAGAGCCTGTCTCTTCTTGGAAGCTAAGCAGGGTCAGCCCTCATTAGCACTTGGATGGGAGACTGCCAATGTATATCAGGTGACATAGGCTATATTTCAGAGCAGGGAACTGGCAAAGCACCTCTGGGTATTCCTTACCTAGGAAAACCCTATGAAATTCATGGTGTCACTGTAAGTCAACAGGAAACCTGAAGGCGCGCACACACGCACACACACATTACCACCGTTTCTTCTATTGACACAACAATTTGTGACAGATCTTCGCATCTATCCTCTAGTCTAAAACAACTGCTCAGGCATGGCTATCATTCTCTGTAGTGACAAATCAATGCGGGGGAATCCTGACTTCAAATGGACTTCTCTCCCACAAAGTGCATCTTTAACTCCCTGACCTTTTAACATCCCCAGCTTCTCTTGACAAGTGTCCTACACAACTGTTTCAGATCTGAGGGATGAATCTGGGATTAGTGGGGAGGCAGAGGCCACACATGCATCTCTGAGCATATATAAGCACAATGTTTCAAAACAGTACCTATCAAAACATTCAGTACTTGGAGATTCTGGCAATTGTAATCCACATCTCCAAATCCAATTGGTAGTCCCAATGTGAGCAAATCCCATCAGATTAACAGAACTCATTTAACAAATTACTAGTGATTTGGTTGTAATTTGAACTAGCAATTGGAGTTCTTCCCCCCCCCATGATGTTTTCAAATTTTGCATGCACACATACAACTCGCATACTACCATCCTCTAGAAAACGCTACTATTGCTGTTTATCAGCTATCAGTAATACTACCAATGCCCATTACCATATTATCCATTACTAATAAACAGCTACTCCAGAAGCCAAGAAACATTTTCTCTACTGCAGCCCAGCTGAGTTATTTGGGGAGGGGGAGTAGACGGAAGCCCCTATTTTGAGCAGCACACATGGTGCAGGTAAGGATTGAATGTAGATTGTCCACTTCTGCTTTAAAATACATCATACATAATACATTGAAATTATTTACAACATACTGCTATTAATTTGTCAGGACAGGAGTGGCAATACATTTAATCACTGGAAAAGACTCTGTTCCAGGCAAGCATCTTCCTGTTAGCTCTCTACAGAAACCATTTTTGACATGAGAAAAATAGTGCACTCTTGGTTGTAAAATGTGATTCTTCTCAAAGTGTAGATTGGTCCTAAGTGGCCATTATGTCCGGCAACAAAGCACAAGCAATATACTTCCTAGATATCACACAGGCCAGTCTGGAAAAAACTAAATAAAACTTTCTGACCACTTCTAAATTCAGTCCTGCTGTATTTAGTAGAATTTACATCCTTGTAATTTCCTGTTCAAGATTTTAGCACAAATGAAATTTGTTTCAGTTGACCTATATTTGTGCCTCAGAGACTGCCAAGGAAGAAGGATCCACATTGTTCTTTCATGCCCTTCAGTGCCATAAGGATTGCACAGAAAATCAGAAGAGAGTAATAGATATGTGCACTGCGAATCCATGCTGCAAATGCCTAGATCCTGTCTGATCTTGGAAGCTAAGCAGGGTCAGCCCTGGTTAGTACTTGGATGGGATGGGCCCATGAATCCCAGGTGCTGCAGGCTGGAGCTGGCAAAACTACCTCTGAGTATTCCTTGCCTAAGAAAACCCTTTGAAATTCATCGGATCACCTTAAGTCGACAGGCAACTTCAAGGCACATATGAAAAGTGAAAGAGGGGAAAGGAGTTACACCAGGGGTCCCCAAACTACGGCCCGCAGGCCAGCCCCGGCCCGTCGAGGCCTTCTTACTGGCCCGGCGTTGCACGCGTATGCACCTGACTCCGGGCGCTATTTTGAAATAAAAAATGGCACCCGAGTCGTGTGCATGCGCACCTCCAGCCCCCCGGAGATCTGATCAAAAACCGGCTCCCAGATCAAAAAGTTTGGGGACCCCTGAGTTACACAGTTATCAATTGTCAGAAGCCACAACTTTCTGTTCCTCAGGAAAACGTTTCCTTCCCTGTATTTCCATCAGCCTGTATGCACTGTGCTTGCAAGAACTGCATGAACTATAATTTCTAGCACCATCACTAATGGCCAGAGATGCTGGAACACAGGAAGCTGACTTAAACTGAAGTCATACTTCTGTCTATCTAGCTAACTCAATATTACCTCTACTCTGACTAGTAAGTATCTGGCATCTCTAGCAGAGGTCTTTCACAGCACTTACTGCCTAATCAGTTTTAATCGAGGAATGGTAAGGATTTTACCTTCTGCATGCAAAGCATGTGAACAATCACTGAGCTATAGATTCCCCCTCCCCAAAATAATCTGGCTCACCTATACCTCAACATTAAAATTTAGGGCATGTACAGACTGCCAGAAATAATCCAGCTTGAGACCACTTTAACTGCCCTGGCTCAGTGATAGAGAATCATGGGAACTGTAGTTTATTGTGGCACCAGAGCTCTCTGACAGAGAAGACTCAATGTTTCAGAACAAACTACAACTATTCAACTATTCCTGGCACAACTTGGAGCAGTCATATGAGCAAAACTGAATTATCACACCACTCACAGCCCTTCTCACATTGTTACTGTTTTATGCCTTCAAGTGGTTTCAGACATATCATGAGGTTTCCTTGGCAAGATTTGTTCAGAGAGGGTTTGCCTTTGCCTTTGCCTTTGCCTTTCTCTGTGGCTGAGTGTGACTTGTTTAAGGTCACCCAGTCAGTTTCCATGGCCAAGCACAGATTCAAACCCTGGTCTCTCTAGCATACCTGAGAAGATATAAAATAATTCTTTCCCAGCACTACTGTAGTTAATAAAAGGCTTAATCTTCACCATGGTAACTTTCTCATGGTGACATTTCATCAAGTTCCCTAGTCAGGAAGAATGAATTCCAGAAGCCATTCTAGGGCAAGAGGTGGGAATTACGAGGCCCTCCAGAAGCTGTTGGACTGCAATTCCTAGCATCCTCTCACCACTGGCTATGCCAACAAGGCCAACATCTGGAGGGCAATGTGTTTCTCCCCCTTGCAGCAGCCTGTGGAATGAAAGAAAATCCTGTCACCCCTTAGAGCCCAGCTGGTGGCTTTTGGTCACACAGATAAAAACTTACCCGTATATACTCAACTATAAGTCAACCTCATGTATAAGTCAAGTGCAGGTTTTGGGGCTAAAATTCTGGATTTTGATATGAGGCAATGATATGTTGAGGGTAAAACCTAGGGGCATGTAACAAAGGATTTAAAGGAGGAAGCAAAGGAAAATAATGCCAAAGAACTTTATTCCAGCAGCATAACTGTTGGTGCTCACATTAAAGGCTGGATGGATGAGAGAATAGAGAGAGGGGTCAACGTTTCCAGGACAGATTATGCTCTTGCCTTTCACCAGGGGATGGTTCCTTATTAAAATAAGAGTTACAACTACAGAATTTACACTGACCCATGGATAAGTCGACCCAGGTTTTTGGGGTCAATTTTTTTATTAACATTTCTAGACTTATACATGAGTATATACAGTAATTTACCAGGTATACTGAGAACATGATAAAAATGTTACTGAGTACATGCAAGAGCACTAACTTGTGACATCAGTAACCAACATCTTTTCTTAATGCAGTTTGCAGCAGTAATTCTTTTCTGCTTCAATTGCAGCAGCAATTTTATTTTTAACAATTGGTGTTAAATACCTGTCCAAAATATAGTAGTGACAACTTCTTTAACTAGTGCAAGGTGACTATGTCAAATAAGTGTTTTATACTGACCAATTAACAAAATCCCTGATATAAAGGTCCAAAATTCTAAATGTATTAAAATGGCTGTTTTATACCCTTGAAAATGGGGGTAGTCAAATAAACACTAATCTGTTCTCTATAATAGAAGACAAATGGTACCAATTCAGGCTATAACTCAAACATCCAGCCCTGAGTTCACTCTCTGTGATAGCACCACTGACTTCTGCTAAAAATGGACAATAGGTTTTAGAATAATTGTCTCTGGGACAAATTACCTTTTGGATGGCTGAAACAACCCTACATACTTGGTGCAGTGGAAGAAATAGCACTATTCATAAACCGGCCATTCATTATAGATGCTTGGGAAATCACATGACACAGAGAAACATTACATTTTATTACATCTGTTTTAGTAAACATAATACCACCATATTTTCCAAGCATGGATTAGAGGTCCAGTCAAAAACACTCCCCCTTCAAGAACAAAAGGTATGCTGAAAACAAGCATCCAGCATTTAAATTTAATTTAAAAAAACAAACAGTGGTTTTCACTGGAAAATCAGAGAAGCATCATTCCTGGTATTATCTGATGCTACACTGACAAGACGTTAAGGCACCCAAATTAATAGAGAGAAGAGAGAGAAAGTGAGATCATATTATTGTTAAATTGGGGGACTCTGTGGCCAACCACAATGAGGATACTGACGCTTTCGCAAAGCTTAAAATCTGACACAGGCTCTTTTCATGCTTTCCTCTCTCTCAGCACATTCCTTGACCCTCATCCTACTTGGCAAGCCTTGCTATGATAAGGAACTCGCCTGCAAAAGCAATCACAGTCAATTCTGCTGGGAGCAGGGTAACCAGACATCCTCTTTTTTCCAGGACATGTCCTACATTCCAATCTTCTGTCCAGGAGAAACTCCAAAACACCCTCCATTTTGAGCCCAAACCTATGGTATATTTATATTAATGTTTTTAGCTTTTAATTTGTCATATCCTACATTTTTCTTGAATGCCTTCTATTTTGTAGTGCCTTGTCCTCCTTTGTTGTTAGGACATCTGGTCACCCTGGTGTGGTGTATCAGTCTAAGTAGCCAGGGTGACCAGGCGTCCTCCTATTCCAGCACATGGCCTATATTCCAACCTTCTGTCCCGGAGAAATTCCAAAATGTCCTCCATTTTGAGTATGACTAAGAAGCAT